CCCCTCCCCTCCCCACTGCCATTCCAACATATGTGGAGGTGACATGTACCTATCAAAGCTTATTTGGGTCTGTTCCTTTGAACATAATACTATTACTTTATCACTCTGTTTTCAGGCGGCCGATCATTTTTGTTCTTATGCTCTTTGTTACTAGTATCTTTTCCTCTCACTTCTAGAAAGATTTGAATTGTAATTTATTATTTATATCGTAAGAATTGTTTTTCTTTGACTGCCCAATTTTGTGTCAACTGCCCCCATTATTGAAAGTAATTACTAATTAGCAACCAAGTTTTCTTTTGGCAGAAATATATGGCTGAGATAGAGGTGACGGCAAGTGAGAATGTACAAAGGCTTGCGCCATAACACCATCTGTTAGAAATTGTGTTTTCACTTCATCACTTTTGGCCTGTGTGTGGCGAGACAACTCTTCCGACGATATCCCCCCTGTAATCGACCATGATTGCTGGAGCAATGAATCGTTTTGTGCGGACAGGAAGGTATAATTTTCTTGCAAATTGCAGTAATTCTCTCAGCCAATTCCAATAATAGTAAATGGGTGAGTAGAAAATCTACAAACTCATGGGTTCATGAATCCAGTGGCGGCCCAAGGTTACTTGAGGCCTAAAACGACTATTATAAATGAGGTTTTTTATTTTTAATATTAATAATTTTTTATTTGAAAATTATGTTTTTTTAGATTAAAAGTACTCTAATCTTTCTTATAATATTCGATCTTATGGAATATTTTATCAATTTTAATTTTACACAATCATGGTCTATTTGATTTTAATTTTTCTTGTTTAATAAAAAATTATTTTGGTATATTTTTTATAATAGAAATCAAAAAAAAAAATCATAACACAAAAAAAAAAAGGATTTGTATTTAGTAGAGAGTGAGTGAGAGGGAAGGCGCTAGTTTACTAGAGAGAGAGAGATAGAGACTCGTTACAAATAAGTGGTGTGTTTTTAGCTGATTAGTTCAAATAATTTTTTTAACCTTAGCATTTTTTTTCTAAAAAATTTATTTTGGGTATATGTTTAATAGTATGAGTTGGGTTCATGAGTTTAAACTATTCAAATTTATTTTTGATTAAGTTTAAATATTCATATGGTTTTTTTTTGGGCTTAAAATCTTATGGATTTAAAAAATTTTGATTTGAACTTAATATGCACCTAGAAATTTTAGGCCTTCTTTAAACGTGGGGCCTCAAGTTCAGACTTTGGGGCGGCCCTGCATGAATCAATATAATAATCATCTTGTTATGGATGATCCAAATGAGACCTAATGTTGCTTAACCTTCAAAATTAAGTTTCATTGTTTGAAAAATGACAGCTCTGGTATGCCTTGGGTAAGCTGAAGGCAGAAAAAGCTGCATGGAGAGTAGCAGAGGAGAGAGGGTTGAAACTGGCCACTATCTGCCCTGGCCTTATTATTGGTCCTGAATTCTGTCAAAGAAATCCAACCTCAACTATTGCTTATCTCAAAGGTATGCTATCCAACCTTCCATTCCTCTCATGTGTCTTCCATTGCTCTGGACCTCTGGTAGTATTTTTTACAATCAGAGTCTTTAGAATCAATTATAGCAGTTTAAGACCAATCTCAATTTTTTCGAACCCTATTAGGACATTACTTTGTCATGATTGACTCATTACTTTAACCCCATTAATCTTAAATTTTTTTGAACTCTATTGGGTCATTGCTTTGATCTGATAACTTTAAGCCCTTAAAGTCATACAAAGTTCTCCAATTTTTTGGTTGGATGATACTATTGTGAACTCGTGAGTAGAACTTGTCCCTGAAAACCGGGTTGTAAAAGAAGGGTGTCCAAGAGTTTATATACACATAAGAACATTCTACCAAGCTACCGTAACTAACGTTTACAGCGGCCCACTCTATCGATCTGACTCAATGGTAGTACTTTTTATTTGACAGTTTCACTCACTTATCAGTATTCAATGAAATAACACTATATTCATACATAATACCAAGTAATCTTAATTAAGCCTATAAGTCGCCTTTTCTGTGACTTGACCACATAGAGTCGCAACTTACATTGTGTTTGATTTTATAATCAACATGATGGCTAGTTTTGATGTCAATTGTTATGAATCCGTGGGTAGAATTTGCCCTTAAAAACCGGCTTACAAGGGAAAAGTGCCCAAGAATTTATATACACAGATTTAATTTTATTTTTAACCGATGTGAGATTGTAACGTGTCATAATCTATCCTCACTACTAAAGTTTGTGAGCTTTTTCCAAGGAACCGAGGAAGATAAAGTTGATATAAACAGTAATATGCTAATTTGTACATGCAGGAGCACAAGAGATGTATAGACATGGGTTGTTGGCGACTGTTGATGTTACCAGATTAGCCGAGGCAGAGGTATCCGTGTTTGAGGCGATGAACAAGACAGCGTTTGGGAGGTACATATGCTTTAATCAAGTAATTGGGAATGAGGATGAGGTGGAAAAGTTGGCAGAGATGGCAGGGATACAAATTAATATGGTATCAGAAAATACAGCCAGCAATTCTGCAACTCGATTCAAATTGTCCAACACAAAGCTATCGACGCTAATGACAAGAACTCTGAGATGTAATAATGTATGTTAGCAGTAAAATTTTGTTGTAGTCAAAGCTGATCCGTTCTCAATCCTTTTCAAACTTGGTGGTATTATTATTATGACATGTCAATGAGATTAACCGAGAAATATTAAGAATTGCATAACTCGCATAAATCAAGATTGAGTAAAGCAATAATGTGTGATTTTTAAGTAGATTATTTGATGCATCTCAAGTTATATTGTTCTCAAGTTTCATTTTCAATTATAATGGTTGAAACTTTCAGTATCCCAACTTTAAATGTCCATCACATACATTCTGGGTGGAATTAGATAATTTTATCCCTAATTTACGTGTTTTTAGTATCAAAATCTAAGACCTGACATTTTTCATTCAAAGAATGATTTAATCTCAAAGGATTAAGTCTCTTATGAGGCGTACATGAAACATAACCCCTTAAGACCACCGCCGATAGATTTACCCGACCTTGCAGATTAGAATTAGCCCTTGACAAAATCAGCTTCTAATGCCCATCAAGGGTTTAGAATTCAAAACCCAGTTTGGATCTTTTAGAAATTTGATCACAGAAAAAAGTATGATTAGAAGAAAATCAAAACACTGCTATTTTCCGTAATCGATTGAAAGGTTTGAAGAGACCAAACGATAAAAATGTACTTAAGGATTACTACCAGCTTCAGAGACTTTTAAGTCTCAGCAAGTCTGAAGCGCAGAAGTTAGTTTCAATTTCCGAGCAGATAAACGCCTCCTTTCCCACTTTCTGTTATCAACGAAAGGAGGCTGCCTGAATTTCTACTCAATCAGTGGTTGCCTAATCATAATAAACCAGGCTAAAATACCCCAAAAAAACCTCAAATTTCCCAAAATGAAGTTTCTTCAAGAATAAAATAATTTACGTAATTAATTGAAATTGATGGCGGATGAGGAGCTCAGAGAGTTGCTTTATGTGCTCAAAGAAGAGTCTGTTAAGACTCCACTCATACAAGAGGTGTCAGAATCAAAAAGCACTGTTCATCTTTGCCCTCTCTAATGACAAAACAATCATCAAATCCGAAATAAGGAAAAAAAATTGCAACAATCGAAACAAAGACGTTGTATTACCAAAAAAGAAGAGGAACAGGAAGAGGAGCCGAGGAGGGGAGGGTGAGGCGTACGGCGGAGAAGATGAGTCAAGGTGCATTGGGCAATGGCGGAGGCTTACGTTAGGGTTTGAATCTGATTCGTCCAATCCCACACTCGATGGCATTTCTAGCTTGTTTATTGGGCTTGACTTCATTGTAAGCCCATGACTAGAATAGAAACAGGTCCAACTTTGTTAAGTGGGCCATTGGGCTTACAAAATATTACCAAGATTCAATGGGGAAGGTTGAGCAAAAGTGGCAAAAGAACTTTATATCCAAAGAAGGAGGTACGTGAATCGTGTTGATTGAGACGGATTTATATCTAGTTTTAATAGATTTGTGTTAAAAAATAATTCACTCACATTGTTTATTAATACTTCTCCAACGAATTGTATTATATCGGCAGGGCCGCCCCAACTGTATTAAAAATAAAGTGTGGGTTTTAGGCCTCAAATTTTTGAAAGATCTTATAATTTTAAATACATAATTAGTTCACACAGAAAATTTAAATCCATAAAAGTTTTAGGCTTTACAAAATGATCCCAAAAAATTTAAGCCCAATCAAAAAATTATAATTTCAATAACTTGAACTTACAATTCAATTCATAACATTAGAAACTCAAAAATAAAAAATTTAAAAAACAAATAAAAAAAATATTCAAAAGTCAACTCATACTTACTAACATCCACACACACTTTCTCTTAAAAAACAAAAATAAAATATCACATCCTCCTCTCTCACTTAAAAAGAATTAAAAAGAATTTTTATTTTTTTTAAAATAATAATAAAAATAAAAAAACATCACTTAATATTACTACTTTAGACCTTAAATTATCTTGAGTCGTTCCTGTATATCAGGTTCGTGTCATGTATAAACCGTGTATAACTGATATATAAATGAGTCATATTGTGTATTTATTCTGATTGAGTTCACTCATATCCGATTTATTTATTAATCGTGTCGAGTTTTACTCATTCGTTTACTAAATGAGTGACTTAAGAAAGATCCAAATTCTCTAATTTCGTGTCGTATCTTATTAACAGATCGTATCATATTTTGACAACCCTATAAAGAAGATTTGAGTATAAATTTCATTTAATATGTTTTCTCTCTAATTTTATTCTAAGTTGATCATTTATCATTAATCAGTGAATGACTCACACATAAATAAATAAGTCACACCTAAATCATGATCAAAATAAGGATCGAACAGAAAAATGTATTTGAAATAATCTCATTCCAAAAAATGCATGTGAATGCCAAAATCCTTCACAAAACTTTCTCACCTCTCTCTTTTCATATTACGTTATGTTCACCATTGTTCAATTCGAAAACCGGTTTAACCATGGTCGAGGCTCTCCATCAATACCCCTTTCTGTGACCCTTTTTTGATAATTCCATTTCCTTCCGAGATTTCTCATAGTGACATACATAGGTTTCATAGCCTTCTAAAACATTAAAAAGGTGTCCTCTGCACACGACTTCATATTTCCTTTGTTTCTTACATTCAATGTCAATCTAGTGGGTAACTTCAATTTGCTCTAGAACCCCTTTGCATATATCCAAAATGAACAAATATAATCATTAGATAGATATTGAATTTTAGTTCATATTGAAATCCATCGTTAATTCAATAACTACAATAAAATAAATTCTCATATTCAAATCAGACATTATTCCTCCAAAATTATCATGGAATGACTCATCTTTTATGTTTATTTTAGCACAAAAATGATCTATAACAACATACTCATACACTATTATAAAGTTATTGAACACAACTCTTAACCAAAATATTTTTTTTATATTGCCATCTACATTAGCAACAACACGGGTCAAAGGATTAAGGAAATTATGAAAGATTTATCTCTCGTTAATATCTTAGTTTCGATTTAAATAATTTGTTCTTAATCAAATTAAAAAGAGAAATTATTAAAATACGTATAAACTGACTTAAACATTTATCATAAAAAAAAAAAAAAAAAGACTAAGGAGGGTAACGTGAACGTGGGCAACACGTTCCTTGCCATCTCCCTCACGTGCGCGATCCATTCAGCCAACGATATGAAACAGCAAGGAGTGGAAAAAAGGCTCGGCCCAAGTGCGACATTTTCCTTTATTCGCTCACATCGGTAAACATGAAAAATCACTACATATTGCTTTCCGACCATTTTAATCTCTCTCTCCCTCTCTCTCTGATCTCTTCTCTGTCTCTTTCATGAATATTTTAATAACATATGAACTACAGCCAAGTAGAGGGAGACATACCGAAGATATTATAGTTTACACACAGACACACTGCCAGAGAGCAGCCGAGAGAGAGAGAGTTTAGATATGCTACATAAACAAGATCAGCTGATATCAAATGAGCATCTTATAAGTTCAAATCGAAACTCTTTGTGCAGAGCAGTTCTCTCGAAACCGTGGCGTTTGAGTGCGTCTAGGGTATAATAATATCTCCTGGACTGCTAAATCTAATGCTACAGAGATTCCGAAGATGCGTCGAAAGCCTGTATTTATCTTCGATATGAGGTGAGTTCTTAATTTTAACACATTAATGCATTTCAAATATATCTATCCTGAAGATTTGATTTGGAATATTTGAATCATTTACTATATCTTTCCCCAAAACCTTTTAGTTTTTCGATTGGACAGTTCAATTACATGTATGTAACGGTGCATTTACTTTGAAGATTAATTGATTTTTTCTCTGAGAAATGTTGTAGTGAACAGCAATGGTGATCTGTTAATGGAAGTCATCACCATTAGATCTTCGTTATGGAAGTCCTTGCTTTATTTATTCAGGACGAGTGTTTGTCAATCTTTTTAGGTTAGAATATTAATTTAATTAGATTGAACTTTTTAACTTTCATACGAATAATCACTAACAAATCTTTCGAGATTCATAAGTAATTAAGTACATCTACTGAGTACAGACCAAAGAGAAACTTAAAATCAATACAAATTTACTAATGAAAGAGAAAATATAGTACTGACCCATAAAACACAGCATTTTTCTCTAATTTTGATATTGATTCTTTAAATGTATCCTTTTCCAATTTGTCTTTAGCCTAATTAGGTGCATTAAAAGACTAAAAAAAAAAATAGTATCATATTGTTAAGTTTTGTAAGTTGACATACAAGTTTTTAAGTTTGCTTATAATAAAAAAATTATAATTTTTGAGATTATATTACAACTTTTATGGTTTAAATTATAATTTTTTTGGATTATTTACAACTTTTGAGGGTTATTTGCAATCAATCTTTGCAAATAACCTTCAAAAATTGTAAATGACCCACATAAATTGTACCTTGAACCATAAATTTTGTAAATGATCCTTAAAATTTGTAAATGATCTTGGAATTTAATTAAAAAAAAATCATAAATCTTTTAATGACAGACGATACCCAAAAAAACTCTTTTGGTGCTTTAGATTTCTCCTCAGGAGCAAGTAAGAAGTCCTTTGTTTCATTTCAAAAAGAAAATTGCTTGTATAGATATTGGAGTATTTTGTTTTGGTAGTAAGATCTATCAACGTAAAGGGCTCTGCAAACATGTTATTCAGAGGCTTTTGTTGGTTACAAAAACTGTGACCATTTCACCCTTATTCTTCTTCGTGCAGCCGTGCTTGTATTTGAGAACTTCCCCTTCTCTCTTTAAACTTTTTTTGCTCTCAAGGGAACTCTCCCCTTTAACCTAAGACAGCTTTGGACCATCTGACCTACCTGAGGCTACCCTGTCAGACAAATGCAGAAAACTAGCATTGTCACTCTAGGAGCAAACTGCTTCTTCACTATCCATTCAGTCTTGGACTCTAGGGCCCTTACACAAATTATAAGGCAACGATACTATATCGAAATTAATCTGTAATGGTTAATTTTTATTTCGATGATTTATTAGAAATATGAT